CTTGTCATTTCGGGCAAAACCTACTCGACACTTACACGGCTACCGTCAAAGACATCAACTAGTCTTGTCAAAGGCTAAAAATCCCTTATTGTGTGGATATAGTTATGTTTTTAGCACATTGGGTTAACACTCCCCTCGAATCTGGTGTTTTGCGTGTGTGTTGCATTACCGTAAAAATGAGGTATGTGAGGGAATACGCCATAACAACGTGTGTGGCTCAAAGACATTTCTAGTGATAATAAACGATGATTGTCAGTTCCTACCTGCTGCTTGAAGGTGTTAGCAACTTCGCTGAGCGAGGAATCCTTTGATAACAGATAATTGCACACATCGTCGACGGACCACGCCGCCAAATTTGGAAGCGGGCAAGGCCCAAGATCTGAAGTGCAGAAAATCCTACTTCACGAGACATCAAAAGGTATCTTGAGAATTAACAAATCAGAATAGGAGCAAAATTATTTGTCCTCCAAAAAGGTCACACAGTCGTTTACAAAGTCTTACTATGACTTATGATTGACCAAATAAATACACGGATGGTGCGCAATTTTTCGTATTATGACAGCGTTACCTTAGACAGATCATTAAATGTACAATATCTACTGAAAGACTATAAGTAGCAATATACCCATAGATGCGGGCGAGGCGGTGGATGACGAGAGCATTTTGGATTGACTGTCGAATGGTTGCCCACTAATACTTGCGACAGATGTTGGTGCGGGTTTTTGTTGGGCCAACACGTCTGCCAAAGGGGAATCCCCGGTGGGGAAACCATTCGAGGGAAGTTGATAGGGAACTAATAGGGGTGGAGGAGATGGAGAAGGGGGCTCCATCGTGTCGACGAAGAGCTGTGCAGTTGACGATCCAGTCAAGTCACCCGATCGCTGTCGGATAACTAGCTTTGTTGGCTGATAGTAGTCGTTGAGACTATAAAAATGAGTTTGATCGAACAGTAACAATCATAATCACGTAAGGCGAAGCTACTCAATTCGGAGATACAATGAACAAATGGCAATTCACCAATTTTTTGTAAGACTTACAAACATTAGGATACCTAGCAACACGACATAGTCTACATATTATTCCCATCAATGCAACAGCCAACTAACAATGTTAACAAATGGGAAATAATTTAATATGCTAACAGAAAGCAATCTGAGGAGGAGTCAAATCTAGGTGCGTGTGGACACAGAAACAAAACGGAAATGAACCAAAAGTTGGGCTTGGGTATGACTGATTGACGATCGCAAGACCAATGAATTGGAAAGAGGCACATTTCTGTTGTGTTCCTGTGGAGTAAATGGAAAAAAAACTACATAAGGCGTACACGTAAAACACTGACCATTAAGATACACCTAGCTTCAAAAATTATTTCTGCGTTAGGATCTCAATAGGTGGTAGAATTAATGCCCAATTTACCATGAATACTTCAAACAGTAATCCCACAAAGGAAGAAATCAAAAAATTACCTAACAGATCGATGGAGGTCAAAACTCGATATGCGATGGCGATGTCCGCCGTCTTTCGAATTGTGACGTTTGTGTTTCTTGGACTTCTTTCGCTTTCTTTCTCCACCCTCACACTCCGTGCCTATTCCACCCACGGTCGCCACATCGAATGATTCCGGTGGCTCCACGGACTCAGATGACGCCACGAGTGGACCGTCCGCGGTGTCCGGAGCCGACTTTTCAGAGGAGGTTGAGGGTGTATTTGGCGTGGCCTTAATCATTGTTTGCGGACTCCCATCTTCCAGTGTCTTGGTAATCACCGTGAGACGAGGAAGGGGCGGCGGCGGCGGCGGCGGAGGTGTGGGCAAAGGCGAAACGGTTTCCTGTTTGATGGTCAGCACTGAATCCAGGGAGCGTCGCGCAGCTGCCGCGGTGGCGCGAATTCGGCGCGTGGTGCTCCCAGTCAACCGAAATCTACAATCAGTTTCGCATGTCACCATACACACGTGAAAAGGCTGAAGGCATCCAGAACTCACTGACTGTATTTAACAGACTTGATTCTAATTGCCTTAGAATTGCGCTTTGAGCATAATAACCGCATAAGTACATCCATAGACTGATTATTATAATTGAATGTGCGATGGAGACTGTTAACAAATTCTTAAATGCATGAACTCCAAGAAAAGGGTTTTTCTTTTTCAGTCCTATTCCATATTCCCGTGCGTCATTTAAAACATGGCAGAACATTCAACTCGGCTCAGTTATGTGGTGGACTCCTGGAGCTTGGGAAAAAGGGCTGGTCAAACAGAATTGGACCTCAAGGGAAATAGGCATGGTAGGGGTTAAATTTCGCCTCGCGTGAACACTACAAATTTGCTCAGTAATCGAGTTTATGCAGTTCTAAAGCGGCGACTCATGGATAAGTGGGCAGGTGGACGCACAGACACAAGGCCGTGAGATGACCCGGGACCTGCCGTTTTGACAACTAGACTGAGACAAACTCTTACGCTGGGGGCTTGCATGCAGCTCCTTCGACGCTCACAAGTTTTTGTTTGCAAGTTATGGAGATCGTGCTACAGTTTCGAACGAGAGACATCACAGTGTGCACGGACGAGCCCTGCACTTAAACAAGGATTCCGCGCGTGAGATTTAGGAGCATTTTATGCAGTGCGTCGTGCAAAGAGCACGTAGTCAAACCGTTCACTACATGGGAAGCTGATGACCGCCACAATAAATGCGCATTAGCAAACACCATGTAGCACGGGTTCACGCATATGAGTAAAAGGTATAGAGTTCAGGTTGGACAGGTACTTGTTACGATGTTGGGAGTTGAATATGCACAACCACACAGGTCTTTGGCGTGATGTGACCCCGATCGATGATCGAGCGAGAAGCACAAGCCAATGGGTTACCGCAACTAGGCACACATGAATGCATGCATAACTGAATTTCAGGATTTGGGTGGCCCTTGTTTTTGTCACCACCGTTACCACAAAGAAGCCTGCACAGGCACTAAAACTGGACAATAAAAATCGGATATCTGAATTTAGCTTGGCACTTATCCGACGTAACGCGCACTGACTACAGTAAGCACCCAAGGAACACCTGACCTAGTTTAGAAAATAACGCAAATTATGTTGATCACACTACACTGCGTTCAGTCGCACGCGATGACATTAGTCTAGAAAAAGGACTAATTAAAGCAATCTCGAGAAGTTGGGCTCCAAAGATACGTTTTGGCAGCAGTAACGTTACATAAAGAAGAGCATGACTCGGATGAAATTAAGACAGTAATGTCCCTCTGATTGGTTAAGAGTGTCTGACGAGCCACTGTAGAAGACTTTTGTGAAGCAAGCCAAGTGACCCGCCAGACGGTAAACGTGGTAGGCATGACAACGACTGTCAAATTTGTCAGCTTGGTTTAGAAATGGAAGGGTATAGCGAGCCGGTACCGCCACCTGGCACAACGGAAACTCAGGCACGATTCAAAGAGTGCATTTGGTCGTGTTGAGTATTTTCAGCACTTCGTCAAGATCAACACCATGTGACGCTCTGCCATGTACATCAATTATAACACATGGTGGGGCATCCACCTTTGACATATTGATTAAACCGCGGACCAATCGGCAGCACCCAGATCACTAGCTCTTCGTAAAAAAAGTTTGTGAAAAAGTGAAAGATTTCGTTCAGGTTTCCTCAACGTGTCCACAACTCACACCAACCAAAGACTGCGACGCAAGGTCAGCTTTAGGGGATTAGACGTTAAGACTTCTAGAACTTCATTTTTGTGCGTCTCAGATCGCTGAGGGAACATATCAACACAAAAAGGCATTTTTTAAAAAAAAATTGGGTATTATGCATGCCATTGGTGGGCTTGTGGTATCTCAGTGTATCTTTCGTTCTGCTATGGTAAGACTGAACCAATAAAAATCGAACAGGTGAAACCAAGCAACACCGAGTTAAACCAGCGGAACATTGGAGATTGGCGATATGCACACTGGAGATCGAGAAGGGGGTTGAGGATGAGTTTCCAGACTGAGCTGACAGCTTTGGAGTTAGCATTAGTTATGCCATGAACAAAATACCTTCGTCGTCGGAAAGGGGCCTTTCTTCTCGAGGCGGTTGAGGGAACTGATGGATGAGGCCGAACCGGCTTTGGAACGGGTATCTTCGTTGGGGTGAGTTCCAAATGTTGGATAGCAGCTGGTCCTGGAGACTGAAGAGCATGGCCAGCTAGTTTGCACCATCCGCAAGGGAACAGGTCACGTGAGTCATATCGGGTCCAATAGTCAAAGTTCCCCGACCACCCATCAAAAGAGACTAGAACATGAAGTCCTGAGACATCGCCAATCGTTGCTGGGCAAATCAGCTGGGCGTTGTGACGGTCAACGGCTTCCAACTTGTCGCCTTTTTTAAACAGATTTCGCTCAGGATCTGGTGGGGGCTGCAATGCAAAGGAAGGAAGAGCTATTAAAGAAATTGTCAACAAAACGTCACATGACCAGCTCTAAACCCTAAGCGGTAAATTATTTTGGGCGCAGGAGTCCATTCTTGAGGACCAGCATCTCTGAGGAAAGACAGGTGCGATTGGGTTTCGGAGTGATATTGACAAGTAAAGATTGGCTAAAAGGTGATTTCCCAGGTAGAAGACTCAGTAAATGGAACCGACCACAAATTGACGGCTGGGTCATGACAAGTCCTTGACCAACAGAGCAAAATATATCCTTTTGAGAAGATACAGGACTCCTTTTAGGTCTCTTCGTGAACTTCCTTCTGTGGTGATTAGAACAAATTCCAGTTTCTCAGATCATTCAACTCCCGAGATTTACTCCTGACACAAGACCAAGGCGATCACCGCAGCAAGTGTTGACGAAATTCATCAAGACGTCGACATGTAATCAATTGAGTAATGAAAAACAGGAAAATGAAAATTAAAGCGCCATTGTAAAAGTTGGTGTTTCTTAAAAATACAATTACTAATCGGAGTCAGACCCAATTTATGCAACGTGGGTAAGGATACTGGGTTTCAGACACCTAATTTTATCTCCGCAACTCGTATGAGTAAGGGGGACAATGGAGGATACCCTCGCTCACACGATTATGTCAAATTGCGTTAAAGGGTGATAAAGCAAAGTTATTGACGGTGAGAAAGCAAGCTATATCAAAAGCTTCAAGCAAACCAAGAAGTCCCAATAAAGTGGTTAAGAAAAGGGATGCGAAATACATTACCAACGTAACTAATTGCACCTAATCAAGCGACTAAGACAGGCAAAGCCCACCGCGAAAGGGTCACGGCGAAGGCGCGTTAGGGCTGACGACGAAGGCACAAGTACTGTCTCTAAAGGGCTCACAAACCACCGCTAACGCGTCAAGACACGAGGTACTCAGTTAGCTTGGCTAGAGCCAAACGGGGGAATATAAACTCCAGCGTAAGCCATTGCATAAATCATGCATTGGCGCGCTATGCGCACCCAGGTACGAAGCGGAGTTCATTACAACTGTAACGCACATACACAGATAGGTACACTTTAAGATGCTCGTGTATTAAAATTCACTCCAAAAAAAAAAAACGCAAAACCCAGAAATCCTCCCTCTATTTGACACAACGTTCAGATTTTTTTACTGAGTAGAAATCGATAAGCTTACGATTGGTCAAGGAAACCAAAGTCTGAGGGAAAAATAATAAGTTTTCAGTGTAAGGCATGCGCTGTATGTAGTTAAGCAAACAGAGTAGGGGCGAATGAAATTTCGGAGTCGACAAAATGGGTTTCTTGAAGTTTCCTGTGCGAAACCACATTACTGCAAAAGAAATTGTGCATATCTTCTGAACAATTAACCACGAGCAATCCTTAAATCCACAGGAAATTCAGACTCGCACATAATTAGCATTAGCATGTTCATTAACGTGAGAGCGCGCTAATGCTAATGATAAAACGTCAAAAAACTGGGCGAAGATGTCGTGGTGTTTTTGCTAATAATGGTTTACTGCGATAGAGGACAATTGGGGTGGGTACATGTTTATTGATAAACACATCTATTTTGAGTAAAGAGGCTTCGATCGCCTCAATACACCAGCACTCTCATGCACATGTTGTCATGAGAGTCACTCAGTTGTGTTTTGGATTACCGACACGATGTTTGCAGAGCACTTTAAGGTTTATTGACAAATGCCTCTTGTGCATTAGTAGTTAAAACAGGGAGGTAATCTAAGCGAGTGACACAAATAAGTAACGAATCCATAGGATTTTGGTTTCTGAGTCAAGTTTTTACACCGAAGCATCAGGCTGAAATTCTTCGAAGTAAAAAATGTAGGAAGTTTACACAAATGCACAAAGCGAAAAAGGGATACAAAACGAAGGGTACCCATGGGAAACATGGTAACGGAGGTAGAAGGAAACATCGAGATAACTATCGCTCAGACCACACAACCCCCCAGAACTAGGTTTACCTTAGCAAAACACTCCAGCGGTGCAGCTTTACCCTCCTCCACAGTTCGTCGCAGCGTCTTGTTCCACACAAGATGGTTGTGTACATAGCCGAAGGGCGGTTGAAGAGTCTCGTGTGAGGGATAGGGTCGTATCTGATCCGAATCGACCAGAAACCAGCAATCGTTGCGATCATCTGTCCCGACTAAACGTACCCTCAATCGCGGACCCGCCGTTTCGATGACGCGGGCCAGACTGAAAGGCGCAGAACGAAAGCGACGCAACTGCTGGCCTGCGCCGGTAACTGAAAAACGGCGCCGTCGAAGTGGGGTCGATGCGGAAGTTGGGGAAGGAGAGGGATCGGCAAGTTCGGAGGCGACTGCAGGGCCACTCACAGTGGAGGTGGATGATGGAGGAGGGGGAGTTTCATTTAAGGCGATTCTTTGATCAACAGCCTCGAGGAGGGAGTCAACTTGGAAGTGATTTTCGGGCGGTGTGCGATTCTACACATGAAAATTACATGAAAAAGAAACACTGCAACGAGCAAAATAATAACATGTTTTGACTGATGCGTGGAAATTACTCGGAAGACTGTAATAAAAGAAATTGTCACAACAGAACAATGTACAGAGTCCATTCACATTTAATCTCCTTTCCAGTAACGCTACGCTTTGGATGAAGTCCTCACATCGAGTAAAGTGGGTTGAGCAAGCGTCGGCCTTTGTTTAATTGTGGCTTCAGAAGATCACAAAGATGTTAGACAGGTTAAAAAAATAACTTAGACGACAGACGTTGGTCTATTTCATGCAACGGCAGGCATTTCTCAAGTGGGTGCACTTCCGTTACTAGGGGGACGATTTAAGACCTGCAAAATGTGGGATCCCTTAAGTGTTTTCATCCACCCTCTTTCCTTAATTATGGGGACTCAAAAAGGTTTAATCAAATTGGAGAAAATCTCGACCCACGTTCCCTCTTCCGTGGCAATCTCGAAGCTATTCTACCACAAAAGACGCAGACCTCGTGGAGGTCTGTATGCTTTGGGCCCGGAGGCATTGCATTCAAATAAATTTGGGACACAAAATCTGGAATACTAATGTACTTTTGAGCACCAGTTTTGGTCTGTTGCTAAAGTTGTGCATAAAAAGACGCTTCGACTCACGCCTCGCGTTCGATTTAAGCCAACGCATATGAACGCATGAGTCGAACAGACCTTACGTATGATTTGTAGCTCTGAAATAGGATAAGCCATTGTTAGCAAATCCCCGAAACTCTAAGCTGGTGGCTTTGAGATCAGCGCCTGACGACCCAGGCTTGTTTGAACGCCCGAATCCCTCGAGTCTTACAAAACCCGCCAAGGGTACCCGGAGGCGTGAACATATTCCTCGCTTTTGACCAGATTACCGAGGGTTACCCGGCAGATAATATTCTAGGCATCAAATTTTCTCCAACCTTCTGACAATTTTGACGAGTTACTCTCCGTACTCTTGAGTTTGTGGCCCACAGTTAGGTTCTTATTTCCCTAAGCGACTTGAGTGCTCGTCGGAGCATGAGTTAGTGTGAATACTGTCCAGCGGCGTACCTCTAGGTCGATGATAGATCTGATTAACACTAATGGTGATCACTCAATCGTACACCTCGTAGATTGCGAAGCCTTCAATCGAGAACTTCACTTCTGAGAGCCTAAGCCGATTCACATTCCGATCACTTACAAGGCACACAGCAACCCAATTGGCTAACAGGATAATGCATGAATGAGTTAATGAGCGAATATTCCAAGAAAGCAAAAACAACTTCCGTGATGTATTGGACGAGCAAGAGGGCCAAGATTAATCAAACCTTTGGTTAAAAATAAATATTCCCAGATCGACGGTGGTGCAAACGTTTAGCAAAATTAAATAAAGTGGCGAAAACCTGGTTCCGAGTCAATGTTAACTGTTGCAGGTTTCGAACGCTACAAATTTTTAGGTGCGATTCGCGCTGGAACTGGGGACTAGAACCACACAACCTCCCAAGTGCCAAGACTCTAGAACTCGAAACAGCTGTTCATGAGAAACCAGCTCAAAATCTATTCTCCACCTGTAGTGGAAAATGAGATTACTTGGGATAATTTGCAGATTGTCTTAGCTTCAATCCCAGAGCCAGAAACGAAATTAGTCTACTGAACACCAATCCGAACTGTACGTTTCCATCTGGTAATCTAGAGGAGCAGAATTTTACGCAAGTGTGGCAACGGAAATTTGTAGTACATACATAGTTCACAGACTTTTATAGTACACTAAAGCTCGAACTTTTATAAATACCAGTAGTGGTGGAGTAGTTTTACGATGAAACAAACACGGGTCAAACTGGGCGATCTAGGATCGGCGACCTCAACAAGCACGACTGGACGAATCACTTGAACGCAGAACCACATCTCAGAAGCCCTAGAGGATACAACCAATTTATCCCCACTTATTTAGAAGTTCGCTTCTTTATAGATTGAAGCATATTTTAGTAAAGGCCTACACAGGTATTCCAGCCAAGGATTAAAAAGGTGGAAATTTATTCAAGTGGACTGTCATTTATTATAAATGGCAGGATTTTGGGATCCTTATGTTTGACGAAAACAGCACATAGGGAATCAAACGGACTACGCAGGTGCCTATTGACCTTCGTATTCACGCGATGTGCACAATTCGAGGGTACAGCTGGCCTTCAATAGAGCGGAAGTTGAGTGACTAAGGATCTCAACGTGTCGGGCCCCTACAACAAGGTAAGCACAGAGTGGTTCTGCAGTCGAGTCGTGCGATCCGGAGGCAACGCACAAGTTAGTAGGCAATGCACAATAACAAGAGGTCGCTTCTGATCACCTCCCCATTTCACCTTATTAAAGGTAATAGCAAGTAATATGTCGGCACCGTATTTTGCACGGTAAGTGCAAACGATCACCACGAAATGGTTTTAAAGGTAACATGATCTGCGCGGAACACAGGGTGTGGCAGCATACACCTGAACAATAGATCTTGATTTAGTACTTCCTTCGGGTGACGTCAGCTTTTAAACAATTTTACCTGAGTCGTAAGGAAGAGTCCAATCCAAATAACGAGTAAAACCATTAACTAAAAGGTCTCTAAATTTACCACGAAAAACACATGATGACGATAAAAAAGCAGTAACTTCATCCATGATTTGGTAGACAACACCCTCCCCAGTCTAAGGAATGCTGACTAAATGGCTTGAGGCGTAATGACCATTTGCGAGATTTGTTTAATAACGAAACACAAGCAACAGAAGTAGACTCTGTTCTTAGAGGTTTGAATATTGGCAATGCAGTAAAGAAAAGCACTGAGAAAAACCGATCCCTTTATAGGATCCGCCTTCTATATATATATATATATATATATATATATA